ATGTGTAAATTTCGAAATTTGAAGAAAACTCAAAAATGGATAAAGAAAAAAACATTAAATTTTAAACTTAAGTTTTATTTCGGCCTGACGTGAAATGATTAGATTTTGGACAAAGTCGGAACATCTGGGGGGGTACTTTATGGGAGGCCGTTTTTATATTTTATAGAATATATCTGTTATTTATGTTTGAAGAAAAAAATTGTTCCAATAAAAGTTACTTCTAATATTATTATCTATAATTTTTGCTTTATGTAAAAATTTCCTGAAATGGTCCGTATTCGAAAAATTTGACAAAATGTGCAAAATTCTGATTTTTATGAAAATTGTTGAAATAAAAGTTGTTTGCGATATCGATCTCTATAATATTTGTTCATACATGATTTTTTTAAAATGGACCGTAATGGAAAAATTGTAGGAAAAGTGCTAAATTTAAATTTTTCAGTATTTTCATTTTCAATGAATATCTATAGAAAAATGTTTCGCGGTAGATGTATGTGGACAATGTATATATTTAGTTTATCCTCTAAACATTTATAGAGATGCTGCAATAGGTTGTACAAAATAACCGGAAAAAGCCTGTAATACCTAGATAGGAAAGTCATGTGTTGGACACATCAGATTTTTTTTAGAGTTATTTTCATTGTGTCTAGTTGGAATATCGAAAAATTAATATTTAATAATTATTTAAAACACCTGGGAATCCATAATCAAGCATTATAGGTGGTATATAGGGAAAATTTAAATAATGATTTATAGTGAACAGTAAAATACTTTTATTAAAAAATATGTTTCAAGGTTTAATTCATTGCACTTATTTTTAAACTATTTTGATTTCCTCTATTCAATAACTAATCCAAAATCAAAATGCTAGACAAGGGTGTATGGGATTTTTTTTTTTTTTAATTTTACATAGTACTGCAAAACTTTAATATCAAGATCATTTTTTTACATAAAACTTTGGGCACACTGTTATATAAATATTAAATGATGTACTTTTATTAACCACCTTTTTAGTCTTAAACACTACAAATTAACGCAATATCCTTATCTTCAAATTAGTTCAGTTCATGTACAAATTTGCACTAAAAACAGTCTTTAATGAAAAGGTTAGGTCCCACTATATAGCTTGGGTCGGCTTTTGTCAAACACAAGCGACAAGCTGTTTGGCTGTTACTTTTTTTAGTATAGATATAAGCAGCAATAACGTCAATACGTCATATTATTGTGACGCGATAATGGTTCCACTGACAGTTAACTTCTAACCAAATTTTTAATAAAAACATTAAATTTGACAAAAATTTCAAAAAAAAATTCGCATCAGCAAACTTTTTACAAAAAAAAATCCTTTTTTTGAATGTTAGTTTAACACCGTGTAACTTTGTTAGGAGCCAGTTTTTGATATAGGTAAATATAGCCAAATCCACTTATTTTTTGGTAATCTATCTGTGGACGAATTTATGACATACCTTTTTGAAACACCCTGTATATACCAAACTTATTCAACCTAATGTCCAACTACCTATTAATTTGTCACATCTTCTCACGCTCAAGAATCTCGATGTATACAAAATTATTTATAATCATGTAAACTCTTTAAATTTAAAGCTCTGACGAAAAGAATTAAATTATGTACAAAAATAAAAAAACGAAAATTAAAACAAAAACATGAGCTAGAAAAAACCTATTATAGGACTTACTTTTTATGTGAACTGTGAAATATTGTGATAGAACTTAAAATTCAATTAACACAAAATAAACTTTTTTAATTAATTAAAGATTGACTGGGCAGTTGGTTATGAAACCAGTACTAAACAGAAATGCATACACACACATTTCTAGTGGAAGGCCAGGCCTAGCAAACATTTTCCTGTGTTTCTTCATTTTTGTTTTCTTCAAGAAATTTTTGAACACATTCTGTGTACATTGGTGCGTTCTCGTTCAAGATAAAAATTTTAATTTGACTATTTTGGAAACATTTCTTTGTTCGCATGTAGGTGTTAATCTCCTGTAGGTAACTCAACATAAATTCGGTTCTACATATTTTGCCTTTTCATTGCTAGCAACCCTTTCTGAATAATTAATTCCTTTTAAAGTTGAAGGGAGCCATATTGCTCAGTTTTCACGCACCTGTAGAAGATGGACTTTCTGCATAATATAGGTAGATCTGCTTGGTTATGTTCCCGAAATAGAGGACTTCTATACAAAGGTATTTTTTAGCGAGTGTTTGGTTTAAAATATTTTCGACTTTTTTAAACCGTTTAAAATTTAGCGATGCAACTATGACATCACGTACGAAATATTTTAAACCAAAGCTAGAATGTTTGAACCAGTCGGAGGCATATGGTTCAATAACGGTTGACACATAAGAGATTCTGATTTTGGCTGTTGTATGTTGTTTTACTCTGTTCCATTCTTTGAAAATTTTGATATATTTGACGTTTTGTTAATTTTTATTATCATACATATATTATGTGATTCACTCCAATTGCTCGGAGGTGATTCATATTCATACATTATGTTATAATATTAATATTGATCGTTATATGTTGTAAACATTATAAACAAGATGTGATCTACCTATAGGTTACTCTGGATTATGAAACAATGATGCAATTGAAATGTGGTAAAAGGATTAATTATCAGTTACCTATACGTTTTTTGCAAAAATAATTACGTAGATTGCTTCAGATTCTGAATTTTCCAGTAAATATTTAAAAGCAATTAAACATTCTATGGCACAAGACGTTCTAATTGATGAACTTTGGGAAAGCCCAAAAAAAAATTATAGCAAAGGATCGTCAGACAATTGCGTACTTATTGGAGCTACGGAATAAATATATGCCATGTTTATGGGCAAGAAATATATCAAAAATAAAACTATAAACAACGTTTCAGATTGCAATTTATTAATAACACTCCAATTTTTAATTAAAATCGCTATCAAACAAACTCATCTTCCTTCATCTGATTTAACAATCATAAAAAAAATTCAATTCATTTTTTAAATCAACTTATCGCTTCTCCTTTCTACAACTTATTTCAACCGGTAATCCATCAAAAAATAATACGATCGAAATCAGAATATTTCAAATTTTGTCATATGTATGAAGACTAGTCTTCATAGTAATATGACAGCAGGTTATATTTTTAAACCACCCTATTTTTGCCATCTATTAATTCATGACGTCACTTTAAATATGGTTTAAAAAATATTTTAAACCAATGTGGTGGCTAAAAAACAGCTCAAGGAAAGTGCAACCAGCTTGACAAAATAAAATTGACACAAATGACATAAGAAATCGGGTCACATAAAGAGGATGTTTTTTTGTTCAATTTTTGGTTTTTCTTATCTACTTTTATACGATTTACATACCATGTTGTACCCGTAACGTGAAAAAGACTTTATTTTAGGGTATTTTACTTTTAAAGGTTGAAGACATTTGTCAATAGTAGTTGTCGCTAATGTCAAAACATAAGCGTAGCATTGCGATTTATTTTTTTATTCTCCCGGTTTCTCTAAACATTTTTTTCATTTGGTTTCATATATTTATGTCAAATGCAAACATGCTGCTGCAACAAATACAAGTTCCATACACTATACAACCATATACAACACCAGTTACATTATGCCCATCTATAGTTACGCGTGTATTCTACCATCAACATAATTGACAGCTGACAATGACAAATTTTTTTTAACCTTTAAATCTAAAATACCCTAAACTGAAGTCTTTTTTAAGTTACGGGTGCAACATGGTATGTAAATGGCATAAAAGTAGACAAGAAAAACCAAAAAGTTAACTAAAAAACAGCCTCTTTATGTGACCCGATTTCTATTGTCATTAGTGTCAATTTTATGTTGTTAAGTTGGTTGCACTTCCCTTGTATAGAAGTCCTCTATTGAAATAATAATTCGTTGCTATAGGAAGTACTAATGTTTATTAGGTCTTTTCCTTTGCATCGAAAGTGTAGCACTGAGCTACGTCACTTCTGAAAATATCGTTCCATCCATACAATTTGTATATATGGAACGATATTTTCAGAATTGGTGTAGCCCAGTGCTACACTTTCGATGCAAAGGAAAAGACCTATTATGAACTTCGATCGTCCAGAATCACCTTTACAATACAACTACGGAACGGCTGTGAAGAGTGAATGTGGATAGCGTTCACATTCTCTGCCGTACCAAAGACTGCTCGGGGAATAAGTCACGTTCACATTTCTTCGCGGGCTTTCGCACCATTGCGTTGGTCTGGAACCGGTTTAAAACATAAATAATTCTTCACTTTACTGGCATTTTATTTGATGTGCTGTGTTACCGCATCTACGTTAGTTTGTAATATCTTTAACTACCTTCCCATAACATACACCGTGTCTGGAACACTTGTTTTTTGTCCGAAAAACGTTTTTCGGTACATTCAAATAAAAAAAAAAACATAATTTTGAATGACTCGTGAAATAATTATTCAATTTTAACCACAGTAAAAAAGAAATAACACATGTAAAATATCTTAAAATATAAACCGCCGAATTAGTGAAATTGCGAGGAATTGATGGGAAATTGTGGTGACTGCGGAAGAATAGCAGAAATGTACTAAAGGAATTTGAAAGTAAAAGAATCAGATGTACAAATTTTGGCCTGAGGTTTCATTGTTTATTTTCTATTGATTTGTCTGAAACAAGATATAACCTTATTACTACCAGACATTTTTTAGCATTTTTTGTTATAGCTGTAGCAACAAATTTGGAGACAAAAAATGTATTGACACCCAAAAAGGTAAAATTACATTCCAATGTAGACATCATTAAATACCTGAAATGTTACAAAAACGTTATCCTTTTATTAATGAAGTGTAATAAAAATGAGTTTGAAAAGTCATCATAATGAATTTTTCTTAAGTTTAAAGCACTTCATTGTCAAGTATACTCTAAGCACGTCTTGATCTCTCATTTTTTAAGTTGAGAAATCTGATACTGATTATGGATTTATATTGTATCAGGTTCAAGACATCAAACTCCAGATACAGTAGATGATCGCGTCCATGATTTACCGCCAAGGTACTACGGTGGTCCCAGAGGTAGAGGAGGAGGAGGAGGTCGCAGGGATACCCGCAGAGACGACAGAAGGCGCACTACCGACGATGAGGATACTGTTTTAGATAGCCAAGATGTTTCAAGTGTTGACAGAGGTAAGCATTGCTTAATTAAATAATTAGGGTTTCCGTGAAAACGATGAAGGTTTGTATATACGTTTTGACACTCTTTTTTGGTTAAACTTAACGTTAATTCCATATTTACTTAAATGATAATAGGTACATGAAAATATTTAAAAGGATGATTATAAAACACTAAAAAATTGGCCATTCCTTACTCTTGATATAAAAGAAACATTGGCATTTAAATCACTTATATCTATAAATTAGTAATGATTTTTTTTTATTTACTTCACAATATGTATTATGTCCATTAGTAATACCAAGTTTGTGGTGGAAAAATGTTAAGCTATAGACCGGAGAGGCGAGTGTGTTCACAAGAAACTATTTAACCACAATGTTTATATTAAGGGCCAGTCTTTTAACCTGTAACATTACTCAAAGGGGGAAAGATTGGCCCTAAACAAATAAAATAATGGCGTAGTAGAATGTAAATACGCAGTTTCTAAATGACTAATTATTCTATCCTAGCAATTCTAAAATGCTCACTAGAACGTATTTAGCCACAGTTTATGTTATAAAAATAAAATAATGGCGTAGTAGCATGTAAATAAGTATTTTCTAAATGACTCCATAGAGTCAGTATCTAGCGCAGAAGTCCATCTATCGTCCGAAGGTGGTGCTCCACGCAGGCGCAGGCGTCAAGGAAGACAACGTAGCCGTACTCCCTCCTTGCGTTCCGAAGAGACAGGTAACTGCTGTTAGACATACCCTGTAATCATTGAACAAAATATGATTGAAATCAAGATGGTGTAATTGTTTTTAAAACATTTGGAGAACGCTCGGAAGTTGAGTCGTCAAAAATATTATATTGAATTAAGGTAATGAAGAAGTGCTCTTATTTTAAGACATGTAATTAGAAAATGTCATTCATGTTTTATTTTATAATCAGAACTGTTGAAATTTTATTTGAAATAATTTGAAAATCAATCATATTTTGACAAAGAAGTGATTAACCTTAATGTTCTAATAACGTCTAAAAGGTGTTGTGTTTTTTTATTACTAACTTCAACCCGTGCGTAGCAGCACTCATTTCAGTATACTCATAACATTAATAAATACAATGTATCATATTATTTTATAAATTACAAGGTGTGATTAGAAAAAAAACTGATTCGGGCCTTAAAATCGTCTATTGCTCTTCATTAAAAATTTTAACATTATCGCCTTTAATATAAAGAGTGATCCACAATTTTTTTCTAATGGCAAAGAAAGGCAGTTATGTCTTTGATAACTACGTACGTTTCATAAGGAATTTTACATTGGCACATTGCTCTTCTTGAATATAAGAACATATTTCCGGCGGAACACAGATGCAAAGGGTCCCCATCGAATGAAGGCCACTGCTCAATTAACACTATCCTGTTCAGTTTGACCTTGACGCCCTCACCTATTGTCTGCAGAATGATCAGTCCACATGTTATTCCGACCTATAATCCATGAATTTAATGTATTCTGTATGCATAAGAAAACGTATTTCTGCAATACTAAACAATTATTTTATTCTAAAAAGAATAGCTAACTTAAAAATTTGTTTTATATAGGGTATCTAACAAATAAATGACAAAGTGTTAAATATAAATATGTAACAAAAACAAGAACTTTATCAAATATCATCTGAAAACATTTGAATTTTCAAGACTATATGACAAAGAAAGGTGAGAATATCGATTATAGATCTGAAAACTAGAATATGCAATTTTTGGAAATGTGAAAGGAGAATTGAGAGATCTGGTGAAAGTCGGAATCTGATAACTTTGACTAATATTGCATCGAGGGCTATACTAGAAAGATCCAGGTTCGATCCCTTACTGAAATATTCACTTTTTTTTTTTCTTTTTCAATTTTTCTTTGGTTTGTTTTCGCTTTGGGCATAAATTCCTTAATTTCGTTAAGGGGAATTGGAGTTTATATTTTCGCATTTCCAAAAATTGTTTTTTTAATAATGTTTTGTTAGCCACCACTGGAGTATAAGACATCTTTGAGTAAAATTGAAAGTAACTATTTTCTGATTAAACTATAGACTATTGTTCGCTAATCTGTCAAGTAAACATACGTGTAACTTTACTCAGAGGCGAAAAGATCGTCCCTAAAACTTGTAATGTTTATGCAAGAGGATAAAAACTTCTTCAGCCCATAAAATAATGCTTGCTGTAGGGAATAGGTCATTTAAAATGGGTCTTAAACAAATAAGGGTTTCAAATATTAAATTTCACGCGAGTTAAGTCAAAAATTGATCGTTGATAAACAGGATCAATAATCCAACTCGTTCGTGAACTGTCCGGATTTGTGATCTATAGTAGGTTTCCGAAAACGCCTATTCGCGATTCAAATTAATTTTCGCGCGCCTGCCTGTCACCTATAAGTAAGATGTTTGTTTCGGGCAGATTTTGTATTTGTGATTTTTTTAACTGTTTTTAGATAATATTCTCATTGTAATAGTGTTTTTGAGTTTTATTTATTGTTAATTTAAGTTTAGATTTCGTGCTTTCATCATAAATATATTATTTATCATGTGTATCACTTAATTTGTTGGAAATATTCACCTATTGGTTGCTACAAGAACATCTAGAAATATGTATTTACTAAACCCAGGACATGTTTTATTATGTGGTTTAAAGGACATTTAAGGTACCAAACGTTTATTATTGATGAACTTATTTAAAAATCTTAGTATCCTTATTCTTATATTATGAAGTGAATTGTGTAGTACTTTGTATACTTGTAAATGATAATAAAACCGTCACAAAGCAGATTACAGTTTGATTCTAAACAGTTTTGCAAAATTTCAATATTGTGAATTTGTAGATATCCATTTATCGTAAGAAACAAAATTTTACGACTTGCACTTGGAAAATAATGAATAATTCAGTTTTGATTTTAACATTAACACCATATAGATTGCAATTTGCTGGGGACTTTTTCGCAGATTTCGTTTTTAATATAAACACTATCACATACTATAAGAAATAAACAAATTTAAAGCTAAAAAGTAAGAAAAAAACTCGAATGGTAATTGAAACAATTTAAAATGTAAACAATGAACTGAAATTTAAAAAAAAATCAATATAATAGGTTTTATAAAAAAAATCCTTAAATAAATATAGAGTATGATTACATATTACTAGACACAAATTTTGATTCTTAAATAGAAGGTCTTATCCATTTCTTCAAGATCTATAATCCGACGACGTAACGAAATTTTGCTACTTCTGGCAACACTGAACGATATCCTACTTATAGGGACCTTCTACAATTTTCCTCCAGAGGACATATCACTTAGTTTGAATCGCGAATAGTCACTGGCCTATTTGACAAGTCATTAAAAACGGCCATTATCATTAAATTTCTTGTTTTACCAGATCATGTTAAAATATATCATTAAAAATATTACTCGCATTACTCACATGTAGGACCATTAACATACAATTAACTTATTTTGCAAATCGATCAACCTTTTCATTTAAACTAACTCGTATTACTCATTGATTTAGATGTAGTGCACAAATAATCGTCAAATTTTAGTGGCTTGCACAAATTTATTTAGTGTAGTTTTTGTTTCAGTTAACAACCATTCTGGCGCACACAGCGAGGCTACCAACAATGACAGCACTCATCTCGATAACATCTCTAAACCCAGAGACCAGAAAAATCGCTCTAACAGGCCTCCCCCATCACGTAGGAACGAACCCAAGCCCAAAGAGGCATTGGTGAATGGTACAACTACATAGAGTCGAATATTGCTCTACGCTGCTAACATATTGTACCCCAGTCTGACGGGTATGCGCAAAAATGAAAAAATGGCGAATCTTGGCAAAGTTGTATCACTGGGTTTTTATTTCTTCATTCGTAGCTAAGCTCGAAAATAAATGAAAAAGGTGCTTAGACATTGTACATAATTTTAATCAGAGGTTTGGTAGTATTTTAATTTTAGAATTTATAAAATTATTTATCCGAATATACAAAAAAGCATTTAAATTAACAAAAAATTTTAGATTTGAAGTATGTATTTGGAATATATTTCGTTTTAAAAACGAATCATACATGCTACACATAATTGTCTTCAAAAGACAGTGAATTTCCAAAATACAAAAATGCTTTAAACCTATCAGCTATTTCCTGATTTATTATTAGAGAGAGTGATACAGATTTGCCAGGTTTCGGTGCTTTATCAATCTCTATTAGGTAAATACTACCTACAGACTGGGGTATTTGTGCGCTCTCGACTATTATACAAGAACTTTTTTAGTTTTCGTTTTTGTTATTTTTGTGTTGCATATCTTTTCCCGGTGTAGCCATGAATTAAAAAAAATAGTGGGTGGTCTACTACCCCACCTCGGATGAGACCTGAGAGACTGCTTGGTTCTGTGAACCCCCCATCTTATTGCAAGACTGTATTAAATAAAAGTTCAAGTGACGTCTATGAAGCTTAGTGTGATTAATGATTGACTAATAATAATATGTAACCTGGAAGATTTGTGACAACTTTTCTAATTTTCATACATTGAATATTACTCCCTAGCGCACATAAAACTTCGTATTTGTAGGTTTTTGTGGAGTAAAATTATGAAGAAAGAAATTTGGACTATTTCGAAACATCAAAAATAATTTATACACCGTATTTAAAATATGTAATATAAATTGGCAAAAGTGGTTTTTAGAAAACATTTTCCCAAAAATAAACCTAGCATCATCAAAGATTATCGAAAATATTTAATGATTGTACTTTTGCCAGTTTATAGTATAATAATTGAACAGACAATATTTAGCTAAAAAGTGATGAATTGGTTCCTAAAATACATAAGCGGTCCTCATATTTTATTCCACAAATATGGATTTAAGATTTCCTCTGCTGAAGCAATGGAAAACATCCTCACCTACTTAAATTTGATTTGCCGTCAGTTAACTAAAAATATTTCTGTGACATTATGTATTTATATATTTTATTTATTATTTTTTATTTGTTTTTTTTTTTTTAGTAGTCTGTAGCACTGTAAAAAAATAATACAGAATGTTCTTTTTTTCTTTTTGTAATATTAAGTGTACCATTGTAAATACACGCCCTTATTTTTTGTAGATTTTACAGCGTTTTGATTAGTTGCTGATGTTATGTTCAGATTACACCAATATGTTTATCTGCTGTGTATTAATAACACATTTTGCATCAAATAAATTAAGTAAAAAATCTGGATTATTTTTATTTATTTTTTTACTTTACAAAAATAAATATACATCGGTTTCTTTTTTATTTGCTTGTTTTAAATGATTGTATTTACAAAATTAATATATTACAGTTCATCTTTAATGTCCTTTATATCGTATTCAATATTATTTAAATCATCCCAGATACCTTCAGGAACCATTGTATGGATGTTTTGTACATTTAAATCGGTATCAGATGTGATATTTAAGTATGTAAGATATTTTCCCTCGGATGGCCACCAATTGAAATTGTCTTTTAATAAATGGTACCTAAAAAAAATATATATTTTTTGATAATTATGCTAATAAAAAGTTAGTGTCCAAAATTCTCTATATTAATATAAGAGATAGGTCGGTTAAATAAGGAATGTTTTAGAGAATTTGATGCTTGGATCAGTTTTAAAAATTAAAATAAAATGGTGAATTTTGTGTTTTTTTAACACTTTCACGGCTCTAACGTTAATGCCTAATTGCAAAATACAATTCCTAGGCAATACACATCACGTGACTTTAAACAGTGGACAATTAGGACAAAAACGCTTCCAGTAAGTTTATTAGTCAAGTATTATATAGCAGGGACAGAAGTTGTAAAGGCCTTTGGTAGGTAGAGAGGGGTTAAGTCGGAACACTTCGAGTATTCCGCGGTATCTTTATCTGCCAGTGGTGTTTCATAGAATAAGTAATTTTAAATTGTTCCCGGACAATCGCATGTATTTATGGATTAGAAAATTATTAAACAAGTTTTGTAATATCCAAAATCATAATTGTACATAATTTCAACAGATATTCACAATTTCTTAAACTATTTACCCGAAATTGTTATTAACATCTAAAAAATAATTGTGTACGCCAATGTATTGGATCCACTTCGGTTAGCTCCGCTGCAAAACTGTCAATTTCTGTGTATGAAGTGGGAGAACTGTGAAAAGCCTTTCCAACTTCTGCCCCTGCTATATGTATTATTGTGAAGTTTTTTTATCGTGTTATGTGAAAATAATATTTATTAGTGATAGAACTTTCAATGAAAAGTATATTTTGAACTAGTTCGAAGGACATCCGGAAAAGTAGTAGACCTTGAAATAACTCGTTAGAAAGGCATAACGTATACCTACCTTTTTCCCAGAAATGGCCGTTTGATATATATCCTGGGTATAGATAGAAGACCCAAACACTTTGGGAAAAATATTTGTAATTTTTTCACTTTTTTCAACAATATGAAACAAAAATTTGAAAACACCGTTAAAACAACAGTAGTCTTGACATTTCTTCTTTTTTAAACTGTTTCCCCTTTATATGAATTTAGCAAAACTATTTGATTTCGGGCATGCGCAATCCACTTCCACTTTTGGACGAGTCAACTTTTTTAATTAGTTTTGTGGACTTTTCCGAGCAACCACTAATAAATATTAGTGATGCAGAGCTGGTCAGTATTCAAGTAAATTGTACTTAAAGTATTCAGTAATTGGTACTCATAAGTAGTGCTTTCATCTAGTGATGTGCATAACTGAATACTTGTATGATTGAAAATAGAGTATTCGAATGATCTATTATATGCCTTCATCAATGATTGGGTGGTTCAAGATCAATGTGTTAAAAGTTAATATATTGACAGTTAGTGATGGGTCGCTTTGAAAAGTCGACGGACTAGTCTGAAAAGTTGACTAGTCCAAAACATCGACCTTGATATTAAACTGGATGGCTATATGACATAAACCCTACTCCTAATTTCTAAGCCGACATGGGTGATAAAAACTGTCTGTGCGCATGACAATTTTGACGCCAGACTGTCAATTTCGAGCATTCCACGTCACGTTTTTCACGGGCGTACTATGATAAATTATATTAATTTTTATTAATAACGCCCTATTTTAATAATTATTATTGGAAGATTTGCTTCAGTTGCGTATTAATCAAAAATCATTTTTAAGTGATTTTCTTAAATTAAAAGGTGTCTTAGTTGAATGTAATAAGTGTTATTTCGATACGCACATGTGGGCGCCGAAGTGTAAAATATCACCTCGCTATGCAGCTTGATTTTATTGATCTGCTTTGTTCAGTGGTTCAAACACTTTAAAAGTGGAAAAGTGTATTGCGCATGCGCGAAATTAAATTAACTAATTCGTCTGAATTTCTTACAAAGTCAAACTTTAGTTTAATAATGAAGAAACGACAAATGTTTACTGGCTTTTATAATGTTTTAACGATGTTTTCGAATTTTGTTTCATATCATCGGTGACTGCCCTTAACTCAGTGAGATAAGAGTTGAAACAAAAGAACATTGCGGGGCGCTTACTGTTGCCGCAACGACAATGCGGTGTGGCAACGCAGTTTGGCCCGTGTGAATAATAGATAAATGTACCAAAATAGGAGAAAATCATTACCTAACGTATGTAGACAGCCTTTTAATTAAATTATTTCTTTGGCTTTCTATGACACAAGGGTGTCGCCAGAATATTTCAACCCGTAAATCAAAAAGATTGAAAAACACTGAACTATACAATCAGAACGTAGTACACCAAAGTCTGAAACGTCATACGTCCATATTTGGGTGATTTATTCCCCGACTTAACATCTATCCAAACAGATCACGGTACGCTAAAAGCCAAGACAAAAAAACGTTGCATTTGTATCCTAATTAAGAGAAATAAGTAATCCATATTTTAAACAAGTCACCTGGGCACTATTCTCCACGTTGAACGATGTGGACATTCAACTGTGGGATGTGAAGTGTCCTATCACCAATTTGTTCTCTCGGTCATCGTATTCGGTATTCTTGAATCATTTACATCTCATAGGTTCACAGAGCACCGCTGCCAAATTTAAGTTGTGCGTTAGAACTATTTTAAAAGGCACTTTACTTCAATTTTTTATTATTTTTTGACAAAATTGTTATAACCCAGACAGCACACCAAATCCTTTGGATATCTACTATCTACTGAACATCCCAATATCCACTGAATGTCCAGTCCATGGTAGATATCTATTTTATATCCATGAAATGTAATTTATAGACATGCAAATGTCCATAAATAATAGTAATTATATAGCAAATTATTAAAAAATTACGCCATTGTGGCTAATAGTACCGTTCAGATATTTAAAATTAATTTTTTTAAGGTGTATTCAATATCCCATGAACATCCACTAAATATATCAAAGTATAGATGGCGATACCACTATCGCATATCATGCTCGACCCGCCGTAATTGAGTTCGATCGAAATGTGTGTCCTAATCACTCCATTAGAGACTGGAGTCGAGAATTTTCATTTATTGCTGAAGAGTCCTAATAAGGATGACTTTCTCCTTAGTGGGCAAAATCAAAGGCAGAGTGTTGAAAATATTTTGAGTGTTGAAAATATTTTTTCTCTGCTATTTTCTTTCGACGTTATTCAATAATCATTGGTTATTTATGAACCCCGACTAAAGAAACCCATAAAATATTTTGCTGAATATCCGAATATCTTCTATATCCTGGGATATAGACGGACATTTGGTTGGATATCCATATTGGATATATTGAATATCCACAAAATATATTCTGTGGATATCTCTGTGATTTCTTGTATTTTCTGGAAGATACCCATTAGATATTTTGATGAATAATCATTTAGGTTATCTTCTATATCCTGGGATATAGACGGACATTTGGATATCCATATTAGATCCTCGGAATATTTCTGATATCCACAAAAGATATTCTGCGGATATCTCTGGGATTTGGTGTGTTGTCTAGGAACAGATTATATTTTCCATTATTTTCTAATAAATCCCGTGCGAAAGGTTTACTTAGACGAACATTTTTTATGAATATTTGGTCACTAAAGTCAAAAGGATCCTCTTTTCTTAAACAAATTCTATTAGGTCGATTGACATCTTCTTCCGCTTCAGCTAGATCATTCAAAATATAAATAAGAGCTTCGTCCAAATCCATTTTAATTAAAAAAAAAGTGACGTTTTGATAGCGCACGACAATGACAGTTCTCCCGAAATGATGCTCTTCTACTGGTTTTGACTAAGAGAAGTATGTTCTCTCGAGTTTCATGCGAAGTGATCATTAACTTCAATTCAAGAATACCACTCACACATTTTTTAAAAGAACGGCTGTCCAGTTCGCATGATAATGATCATTCTCTCAACTGGAGAATAGGCCCTGGGGACCTATTTTCAAACGAGAGAATTTATTTCTCAAGATTTTCAGGAGAAATGTCATATAGTAAAAACAGTATTTTGAAAGCCATAGATGGGTTTTTTTAAATATTATTTTTATTGTGTTTGACATAAAATATTTAAATGTAATCCATTATTCATGATTTTACGTAAAGTAGATAGAATACACCATATGTCGCCACCCTTAGATATACCAAACCTGCCCACTGGTAATTCATTTGTTTGGAATGCCTAATTGTGTAACAATTTCTTTATATTTTAACGGCCGTTAAAATATTGGCGGCCTTTAAAAATATTTTCGTATTCGTTTAAATAATGACAGAAGTAATTTAGTAAATACACCTACCAGAATTATTATCCACAAAACTATTATCATTTAGTAAAATGACAGATGAGGATTTAATTTGTTTTTGATAATAAACGGTGCAAAAATGAAATTCAAATTTTAGGTAAAGATTTTTCATAACATTTACTGGAAGTAAGATATTCAGGGTGGGATTTTCTAAGTGAGCGTGGAATTTAATGGTGTAGCTGAGAGTGCAATTCGTTTTATTTGTGACAATGCTAAGTGTATTTCGATCTGCCCCTTGGTAATTCTGTTTCCCTCTATTCAATATTGGTAGGTACTTACTGTCCTGATACAAAAGATTTAATAATTTTATCAAAAACTGATTTGAGTTTTTTTATAGGTTCTATGTTAGCTAATTGAAATCCATACATATAAAATATATCATCACAGTGACCAACACCTGAAATAAAAAAGAATATGTAATAGTTCAACAAACTACTCGATAGTAATTTGAAAATTTCATATTGTTTTAAAAGGGAGATGCGTTTGACCACCGATTGATCATTTTGGACCACCCAGTAACTTTTTTTACCACCCTTAGAGACAAAAATATTTAAATAAAATATTAAATGCCGAGTGCTCGCTGGCCCTCCTAAATTAATATTTTTTCCAAATTTCATGCTCCATAGCATTGACTTCGGGATTGACCAACATTTGCCCACCCAGATTTTTTTTAACCACCCGTTCAAATAATTTCAAGAGGGTAAATTATCAAAAAACATGAGTCCTGCTCAATAAATTCTACCACCCAGATACTTTTTTTACCACCCTTAGAGACAAAAATATTTAAATAACATATTAAATGCCGAGTGCTCGCTGGCCCTCCTAAATTAATATTTTTTCCAAATTTCATGCTCCATAGCATTGACTTCGGGATTGACCAACATTTGCCCACCCAGATTTTTTTAACCACCCGTTCAAATAATTTCAAGAGGGTAAATTATCAAAAAACATGAGTCCTGGTCAATAAATTCTAAGGATTCCAAAAGGGTGTGACAAATAGGTACAATTTCATTCGATCATGTATTAGGATAAATATGCCTTACCTGTGGAAGTAGTGGGTTTAATGATTATCTTGACGGGGAGAGAGGAAAGGTACACAAAGGAAAAACTTGACAGTGCCCCTTACGTACCGAATAGAAGGGGTTATATATTGTTAATTACTATAAAATGGTAGATGAAAGCGGATGGACATAATTTAAAAAAAAATGTTTTATGGTATATTTTTAACTTTCAATGCAGGAATAGTATTTTAATGTGATACTACTTAGACCATGCATTATTTTTTTAAGGATTATTAATTTTGTACTTTAAGCAATTTGTATACAATTTGAGTAAATATACCTACTATAAAGCTTGACTGATTAAGGAGAAAAGAAAATAGAAAAATATTGTCCTGAACCCGTTTTCTATGTGAAGCAAGAATATTATACACATTTGACTACATACCTTCCTTTATTAAATAAAATAAAAACCAATTAAAGCAATTTTATTTATCAACCAAAAATAGTTATACACAAATACGGAGATTAATTATTTACAAAGAAGTGTGGCTAATTAAAATGGGTGGCGTCGATTCAAATTTTCTGATAACATATTTTTAAATACTTAATAAGAATTCCTAATTTAAAATTATTTTATTTGGATAGACGGTTATTTTTTATAAATTTAAATTCAAATCAAAACCTACAATAAATAGGTATGTACATTTTATTTAAAAATTTAAGTTCCATATTAAATATAATTAAAAATAAGCTTCAAGATTTAGATTTTAATACTTCATTTTCATTTTTTTTAAATACACTGGCGAGCAAAAAATTGAGATCACCTTAAAACTTTCATGTTCTTTGAAATTTTACGTTTTCAGATCGTATTCGCAGTGTATTATTTAATATTATTACATGTAAACAACTTATTTGAAATTGGTCGGTATTAGATACCATGATGCGTATGCTTGAGAGCAAGAAAAAGTGAAACTCCCGGGGAATATATTCACTTTTATTTCACTTTCCCAAAAAATTGGTATTTTTGAAATAACGTGAAAGCCAAGAGAGAAAAAAGTAGATGGTGAAAATAAATACAGAGTTGCAGATCATTTTAGATCATCCGACCAATTAGAAACTACGAAATTTTGACAGCAAAAGACACTGATTTTAAGATTTTAAGTTTTTCTGATTTGTTTTTATCGACAACGGAATTTTTACTTTTTTACGTATAAAAATTTTAAAATGCTATTGTTCATTAAAAATAATATTAATGCACGTTGTAAACTATCGTTTTAAATAATTATCAAACTAGAAATTTAAATCTCTTGGTAATAATTCAAGATCTTTCTAAATGTGTTTAAAACTCTTGAATAAAATTTATTCTTATTATTTTCGCGTCTAAATCCATTTTAAAGGGAAAGTAAATACCGCAAATGTATAAATATACCTAAAAACGACATAAGTGATGTTTAGGTATAATTTTTGTATTTTATTTATTTAAATTTTGACAGGCACTGCGCAAGCTTGTGAATTGAATTCTCTCGGTATTTTTATTTTCTCTACCTAAAACTAGGAGAAAGTTTTGAGAGAAAATTATCCACCAATTTTGGAGAATTTGATTTCAAGAATACGAATTTTTACAAGGGAGTTGAAAGTGAGAATGTTTATATACTCAATATTTCTCACTCCCAGATTTCAAGAATAGGCACCCATAAGTATTTAATATATTTACTTGCAGTAACATTATTTACAATTCAAACCCCACTGGTTATATTTAGACGATACCCCCGCGCATATAAAAGGAATATCATGTTCCTCCATAATCCAAGGTGGATTCTCGTCCTGAATATTTTGTCTTGAAATTGTATCCTGATATTTCGAAAGTAGAGTCACTTCCATGGTATTATGAAATATACAACATTTTAACTGATAGTTGACAACCTTGTAACCATTTGCAATTGTTCTATAGGTTCCTTATGAGCGAGAATAATAAACAATATTTCCATATCAATTTGCTTCTAAATGCCCAATTAAACGAATGAAGAATTTCTTAGAAAACTTTTACGTAAAAACATTCCGATGCGATAGATAATTGTACAAAAAGGGAATACCAAAATGAGTGGTATGCCACGTCGCTCTTGTCAAAAATAAGGGCAGTTTAGATTAGATATAAAAGGAGTTTGACATTATTTGTCCGTATCCACCGCGACCTTTTCAGATCTATTATGGGACTCCGTTATTTAGAGTATGTCCTCTTGCTTGGTCTTTTTTATTATACCTAATTGCCTTAACAGTGGCATCCGCATGTGTCTGGCTTTTCTTCATCTAGTATTAGAAACCTCAATCTAGTTAGGCTTTCTTAAATGAACTGTTAAATATTAAGCTCCATATTAAGTATTTTGAACCTTGACACATTGGGAACTAATCATTATTATCCTAATTGAAAGAGACAATTTGGCAACCTCTGCTGCATGCGATTATGGACCGTACGACAATTGTTTATGTAAACAAGGCGTATCTATTCCAATCTATGATTCCAATACTTGATCAAATACAATTTCCAAATCGAATTTTGACGTGAAAAATAAAATGGCTAAACGTCAGGATCAAAATCAAAGGACAAAAATGGCTTTGATTTGTTTTGAAATTGTAAATGTAACTACATAGAATTTTAAGATATATTTGTAAGTATACGGAAAATATTCGGTACCGCAGTTTTGGAGACGTTAAAATTAGACTTACCTTTAATTTCTTTATGAGGACACAAGAAAGATGCAATTTGTGATTTGCCTTCATCGACATTAAAATAGTAATAATAAACAGGAGATTTATTAGCTTCCGATTGCAGTCTTATAGCATCTTCAACTCCAATAGCGAAGAAGCGGTGAGTTAATAGCTAAAAATAAAAACATTATATACAGAGTGTCTCTAGAACTATCTTCTCTATGTGTGTTATAATCTTTTCAACAATTACACATAAATTATTAAAATTTGGGATAGGTAATAAAATACACAAGTTTTTTACGGTTAACTAAAATCATCAGATTTAAAACAAAAACAAAATTATTATGGTTGAATAGGTATTTGAAATATCTTTCAAACTAGGTATCAGTCGCCTTATTATGATTTACACCTGTTGCAGCTCTCTCTTAGAAATGTATGTTTCCTCTTTTTAGAAATTTGAATATTATACTTCATACATCACATATTATTTCATAAGTATTTCAGAAATATTTTAAATGTTTCGAACATATAACATATCAAGCACAAGTTTCTGAAATATTTCAGTTAAATATTTCACTGAAAATGTTTTTGAAACATGGTATAAATGCTACACAGAAGGTTGCGAAACATGGTATAAATGTTACACAGAAGGTTACTAAACAGGTTATGTTATAAAAGGCCAACCCTTAATGAAGAATTTCTGATTTGTAAGAAGAAGATGGGTTATTGTAGTTATGTTTCAGCCAGAGACAACCTTATATATTCCAAATAATTAGAGATTTGCGTCGGTTTTAACCATTTGCTTTTTTTGTTATTTATACGTTGTGCTGTTGTTATATGGGAAATATTTCTTTTTATTGAGAAAATTTAAAATAGGATTTCCAAAATCACAAAAAAAATCATATCGTCCGAACAGATAGAAGGAATTTAATGAAACTTGCACCGAAGGTGCCGACCTATAAGACGCTTCCGAAAAAAAAAATTGGTGTCAAAATCTGTTTAACGGTTTCCGTGGAAACTGCGAAAAACCGAAAAATCGTACGGAAATCGCCCAAACATCCTATGAATCCCTTTTCCGAGATTTGGGTGCACTATGGAAGTGAGTATGCATAAACGGCAGACGCTCAAGACATCATAGGAGACTGATAAGAAGGAATTTTTTGTCTCCCGTTAACTGTCACTTTTTATGAAGTTTTGAAAATTTCTTTATCGTTTTTCGACGTTTTTTGAATATTTTTCCTAAACACCCTTCGCCTCTCTCTACCTCACCCACGCACACAAATTTTTCGTCGGGTGCCATTTTTTTTCGCAACCTTTTCGTATGAGGGGTTTCCGGGCGACTTTAAAAAATTGTATCGTCCGAACGGATGGATGTATTTCGATGAAACTTGGCTGGAAGGTGTAGATTTATAAGTCGCTTTCAAAAAAAAAAAAAAATCGCGTCAAAATGTGCCTATCGGTTTCCATGGTAACCGGGAAAAACCACGAAAAATCGTACAAAAGTCGCGCAAACACCCTATCGATCCCTTTTCCGAGATTTGGGTGCACTATGGAAGTGAGTATGCATAAACGGCAGACGCTCAAAACATCGTAGGTGACTGATAAGAAGGATTTTTTTACAAATGAATAATTTTTTTATATTTTTTTTTTTTTTTGAACGCCCTTTGTCACTCTGTAACTCACCATGAACACGGATATTTTGTCGGGCGCCATTTTTTTTTTCGGAAAAATTTTGTATGAGAGATTTCCAACGAAGCATCCCGTCAGCTTCCCCGAAGGAGTCGCTGCACAATATATAATCACTTTTTATGTTTTCATCATGTCCGCGACCTTTACTAATTTTATCGAAATATTTCCCTTTGCCTCTTCTTTTTTTTAGAGGAAGTAATAGGTGTTTTACTTTTACTTCCTCTAAATGATCAAGTTTGATCATAGGTAATATTTTCGTCATTTTTTCGTCATTTTTTCGTCATATTTTCGTCATATTTTCGTAATATTTTCATCATATTTTCATCATATTTTCATCATATTTTCTTCATATTTTCGTCATATTTTCGTCATATTTTCATCATATTTTCATCATATTTTCGTCATATTTTCGTCATATTTTAGTCAAAATCAAGGTATGCAAGTCTATTTTATTTAGGTCTAATTGCCTCTTTTCGTTAGTCTAAAAAGCTAAAAAGGATAAAGATAAAAGATAGTCAGCATATATAGCTGTTTAAAGTAAGTAAAAGAAGTGCTTGGGTAGCTATTATTATACAGCGACTTCGTAGACAAAGAAGCTATTTTTTAACATTTATACACTCATTCAATTTTTATTTTTTATCTCCCTCCTGGATTCGAACTCACGGTCCGCACGTTACTTACCTTACTTTAAAAATTATTTATTAACTATTTACATACTACACTTCACATCTACAGATTCATAATTGACTCAAATTATAATATCTTTCTCGGTTCTGACGACATCCAAATGAATTTTACGTTTAGAGACTGTTCATTCACAGTCACTCCAAATGGATGCGTGAATAATGTAGTTTTTTGTGTTGTGTAGTGCAAAATCACCTAGGGGTTTCCCATTCATACAGCGCACACACCGCACATGACTACCATAGTTCGTTGGATGTTTTAGGACGTCTGGATGTCCAGCAAAACTACCATCCCATGCCTATACATTCAGTTTTCAACATTCATGGAAGGATTTTGGAATTAAGTCACTCAAATTGGACATTTTGCGTGTTCGTGAATGGGGGCCTTTAGGCTATTAATCTGCAAATATGCATCTTAACCTGCTAGCCTATCTAACAACCTGTCAAATTATTTACATTTTACGGTATCACCATTATATAACGTTTTTAAATACTGATTGCAATTTTCGCTTAAGTTAACTTCAAGAAGTGGATCAACAGATCCCTACTTTTAAATTTTAGAAAAACAGGCATATAACTTACATCATAAAATTTATTAGAATTTTCTTCCTTTAAACTTTCTCCTTTCCCCAAATAATAATCTTTTATTTTAGTTGCAAAATTTTCTCGAATTTCTTCCGGCAAAGTGTGATTGTAATCCAGTAATATATGCGCTTTTTGTATAAAATTTTTGTCAATTTCATCCCAAGAGTCACAATACCCTAAAAAATATTTGGAAAAACGTAAAACTGCTAACTATAGACATTATATTATTTTGCGTGCTATTATAAAAATCTTACAAGCTCCAGGAAAAATTCCTTCATCCCTTGTCATTGACGCAAGCCAAGGAAGATCAGCTACTTTTTTTTTCAGTAACATTTGATAAGGATTCTCTGGTAAAAAAGGATTTTTGGAATATCCATCAATTACTACAGCAAATGGGGAAAATGGCATCTGTTGATACTCTTTAAATATACCGCTTTTTTCTAACAAAAGATTAGACGGTCTCCTTTTGATACATTCTTTAAGTTCTTTACTTGGTGATTCAGGACATCCAACTGAAGCTGATAGATTTTTGGCGAACACTAAAGGATTTTCTTTAATAACCCAGGGGTTTAGAGCAGTGCCACTATGAGACATCCCCCTTTGGAATAATCCTTTAGAGAGAGGGGATAAATAGTGAAGATGAACACTGGCTGCTCCAGCCGACATTCCAGTTAGTGTTATTGAATTTGGATTGCCTCCAAAGTATTCAATGTTGTCGTTTACCCATTTTAAGGCTACTACTTGATCTTTCATTCCATTGTTACCTGGTATTTCATCATCTTCAGTACTAAGAAAACCTAAAAGTAAAAGAAAAACAAAATTTCATTGTATTTTCTTTATAGATAGAACACAAAATTAAACCTTAAATAAAAATAAATAGGTAAATAAAGGATTGGTAATTGAAAACCAAAAATAGGATGATTATAAAGTAAATATAGTAGAATGTGTACCATGAAGAAAACGGTTTCTTTTAGGAAAAAACATACAATAGTTAAAAAAGTAGTTGAATCCACTAAAGCTGCAGAAAATAGTGTAATGAAAAATAGTAAACAGTCAATAATTAAGGTGGTTTGATCACATATTTTTTGTCGTAGGAAAAGATGAAGCTAAGCAAACAGGGATATTATGGGAACGAATATAGAAAGATGCTATAGATGTAGAAAATTATTCAAATAAATTAGTCGAGCAAGACAATAAAAATAGCTCTTAATGCATCGCATTACACCTTAAGAATGGTTTAATATTAATAAAGTAAAATAAAAATATGTTTTCCAAATTCAGATGTTTGTGGATTTGACCTGTTTAAAATGACCATGGAAAAATCATGCCTGTCGGAGATTATAATATTTTTTAATGATAGTTTTGATTGCATTTAAAGGCGTGTGTATGATTGAAATCTAAAATATCCACCTTATCTATTTGAAAAATAAGTTTCGTTCATTACAATATTATAGGTACTCGTTATAAGATAGAGTTATTTAAATGTATTTACTTTTAATTTGTTTGTTTTTGGTAAATTTGTAAAAATCAGGTTTTTTAGAGATTCTAATTATTTTTAGGTAAGATATATACAGTTCTGTCAAATAAAAAGTTCATGTATTGAATTAAGTTAGAAATGTGGCAAATCAGAGATGTTTGCTTTGATAATATCATTGACAATGTAATAACTGTCTATACTTTTAGTTGAATAATAATAATCATGCGCCCTACTTGACTTATAACTGATAATTATGCTTGGTACATTAATAATGTAAAATCTAGTAAGCAAGCTTGGCATATTTTGTCTTTGTATTTGTATTGTACTTAGAATTATTGAGCTGTCATATTTTATTATTCCCTATTGAAGTATTGAATACATATTTTCTTATCGGTTCTATAGATAATCACATAAAATACCTAATGCACTCAGCGTGTTGTAAAATGATTTTTTTAAAAAAGTTTCGTGCATTATCAATAGTCCCCATACCACTTGTTGTATTATATATGATAAACAATTTTTACCCAATAATCCTAAACGATAGTTGATAGATATATAAATAGTATGGTCTTGATCCATTACGAATGCCGAATTCAACATCATATCCCCACTGCCCATCATAAAGGCTCCACCATGGATGAGAACAACTACATCAAGTTTTTTATGTTGCTCGACGTTCTTTCCAGGAACATATATATTTAGATAAAGACAGTCTTCACTACCTGCAAATCAAAATATAAAAATAGTAGATGATATTTAGTTGTACAGTTGACGAAACCGAGATATGAACGCCAAAATTGGTAGAACATTGTTCTCTAATTAGTAAGGTTGCTGCTGAATTAAATGAAGAAACGCTGTCAAAAAGAACAAAGAACAAAGTTTAAGCGCGATTATAATCACCCATTAATTTGCCAGCATTTCCAGGACCGTTAATGCTTGTCCACGCCCTAAAATTGACGGAAAAGCTCCCTCTATTAGTCGTACTTAACGTATAATTCTCTTCGAATCTTGAGTTTCTAGGATGATAAACTAATATGAGAATTTGGGTCATATGTCTGCATCTAAGAATAGTGTAAGTTGTATTACCTTCATATTTTCTTCTTCGTCATGCCGTAGTAAATAAAAGTAGACTACAAAATTACGAGTTGTTTTTAATAGATCAGCTCCAGCTGATAATGGTATATTTCTGAACAGTATTCAGTATAATGGTCCGAAAATTCAGAATGACTTGTTCTCTATTTTTGTTAGGTTTAGGCACCCTAACGGGGTTGGTTGCGCTGATGCCGAGAAGATGTACCGAATGGTACATAGAACCAAAAGATAGATCTTTAGAAAAAATTCTTTGGAGAATGGATCCCTCAGATAAGGTTATGGAATATACATTAAATTCGATGTTTAAAACAACTTGGATTAAAAAATATTGAATTGTTTGGGAGTATCAAATGTAATATTACATGATTTTTATGTTGATGATATGGTAACTGGAGCAAACAATAAGGAATCAGCCATACAACTGTGTCAGGAGGTATCAAATATTTTACATGGTGGTCAATTTAATTGTAGCTAAAACTATTTTACAAAAACTATAAAATTAAAATGGGATGACAGCTTTCCAAATGATACATCTCAAAAATGAAAAAACAGATCTCTTTTATTAGTTTTGGAGATTTTAAAAGTTCCAAGGCACCTGTGTTTGTTGGACTTCATAGAATTATGCGTATGGAGCTTGTCTTTGAAAAGTCAATACTCCAATGGAAAACTATATATTGCATTGCTGTGTTCAAAGGGTAAAGTTTCGTCTTTAAAAACATTAACGATGCCTAGATTAGAATTATGTGCTGCCTTTGTTTTGGTGCAGCTGTTTGAGAATGTTAGTAATTCTTTGAATATTAACTTTTCAAAAATTACATATTGGTCAGATTCAACAGTAGTTCTTTGTTGGATAAAACTGATAAAAGCTATCCCTTCTCTTTTCCAAACGTTTGTTGCAGATAAAGTAGCTCTAATACAGAGATTAAGTTCGTCAGATAGGTTTTTTTCATGTAAAATCGGGAGATAATGCTGCTAATGTTTTATCTCGAGGTTTAACTTCACGACAGTTATTGGATTGTGAAATTTGATGGAAAGGGCCAACTTGGTTGTCCATAAATGAACAATAATTATGGCCTTAATCTAGTTTCCCAATGGATGAAAAGGTTGATGTACCAGATATGAAAATACAATTTCAAACACATTTGGTAGTTAGTGATTTTAGCTTTCCATTTGAGAAATTCTCGACACAGGTAAACTTAAACATGTCTTAGCATATTATCTTAGATATATACACAATTTAAAAATCGAAAACAAAAAGGTAATAGGTCCATTATCTAGTTTAGAGTTAGATGCTTCTTTAAATATGTTAATTAAATTATCACAGAATGAATCGTTTTCAGATGTAATTAATGCTCTTAAAGCCGAACAGCAAACAAAATTTCGAGTTGTTAGTTCATTAACACCGCTTATAGACAACTCAGGTTTTCTGAGGGTTGAGGGTCGGTTACAATTGTTCGATTTGGATTATGCTAAAAAACATACTTACTTCCGGCAAAACATTTGTTTACAGAAGTTTTATTTAAATATATTACATTACTGGATTATTGGTGTTCAAAATTTGGCAACAGAGGTGGTAGTTTCGTGCAATCGTTGTTTTCGAGTTGCACCAAAGCATATAAATCAAATAATGGGAATTCTGCCACAAATGAGAGTTAGACAAATACCCCCATTTTATAATACAGGTGTGAACAATGCCGGTCTATTTTACATAAAAGATAAGCCAGGTAGAGGTTTCAAATTAGTAAAAATTTACGTTTGTCTATTCATTTGCTTTAGCACTATCTCTATATTTTGAATTAGTGACAAAATTTGACCACAGATGCATTTATTGCAAATATTTTGGAGATTTCTTTCAAGAAAAGGCAAACCTCAACAGATATACTCCAAAAATGGATCAAATTTTTTTGATGCGAAAACCAAGTGCAACTACAATACTAACAATACTAATTTAAATAGAGGCTGTTCTAAATTTTAGACCTCTTACTCTTCTTTCTTCAAACCCTAATAATATGGATTGTTTAACTCCTTCTCACTTTCTTATTGGTCAACTGACCCAGATGTTCGAGACATTCCAGAGAATAGACATCCAAGTTCCAGCACATGCAAATGCTATTGCAATATTTTTGACACAGATGGTCAAAAGAATACTTGGTAGAGCTGCAACAGCGGCAAAAGTGAAAATTTCCTTTCCCCAATCTCACCATAGGACAAAAAATGGTTTTTATAAAAGAAAACAACGTTCCTCCTCTACAATGTAAAACTTCAAGAGTAGTTGGCATTATTTTCTTTGGATCAGATGACAAATGCCAAGTCGTAAAAATCAAAACGAGTAATGGAAAATTTAAAAGAAGTATGTCAAAAATATGTCCTCACCCAGTAAATAGTTGGATTATAATTTAAAAGATTGTTTTTCAAGGTGGGGGAATTTAAAATATTTACATCCTCTATGTTTGTTTCTTGGTAATAATTAAGTTGTTATATAAATATTGATTGTCAGAAAAATTTAATATTGTCACACTCGAATTTGGCTATTATTATAAATCCACATATTAAATTTATGTGGAGGTTTATATATAGATAGGGACAAAGACCGTCACTTGGAACTAATAAAAGTGAGGCCAGTACCTTATAGATAATAAAACAATATTAAAACCAAATAATACTTTCTACCTACCCATCGCTCCAACCAAACCATCCTGCAAACATTGATACACTTTTGTAGCCTCCCAGATGCCTTGCCATGGGCCTATAGGTACAGGTTCCTAAAATAATGTATTCTTATAGTTTCTTATAGTAGGTATAACAATTTTTATTTGAGAGTGACTCATTTGCGAATTTCATTGTAGTCGGACGGCAGTAACGTGTGTTTCTTCGCAGATGAGTTACCCTCGAATAAAAATTGTTTATAGTAGAGGTAACGCAATTAGAAAATAGTTCATGACATTGGTTACATGGTAACGCCACATTGCTGGTAAAAATTAGGTTAAAGGTTCCCGTAGCAGATAACTGTTATAAACATAAACATGAAAATGGAATGAAAGAAAGTGAAATGAGAACAAGTTGTACAAAAAATTTTAAAAAACCGACTCCAAAATCGCACAGATACCATTGCTAATTTTCTTATAGATTTTACATACTACTCTAAACAAGGCTTAAGGTATGTTATTATTGGTATTTCTTGAAAATTTCACAAAAATCAAAATAAAAAAAAGGCTATAAATTTTTAAAGTGTTCAGTTTGCTCTTAATAGTGGCCAAAAGAATTAAAAATACTAGACACAATTTATCTTCCTCTTTATAAATTATTATTTTTTTATATCATATTGATCGCTAGCTAAGTCAGTCAAAATAAACTTACTTCGAATTTTAAGTCTCCAACCGGTGGTTTTGCATATGGGATTCCCTCAAAAGAACTATACACATTTCCTTGTAAACTTGTTTTCCACACACCACGAACACTTCCCAATGGCGTTTGAACATCTGGACCTTGATAACTGTAACAGACTAACAAAATTTTCAGATACTATTTAAATAAAAAAATATATATTGTCAATTAATAGTGAACTTTTTAAATTAGTAGTAATTAAAAAATCAACTTATATTTGTTTGTTGAAAAATGCCTATTAATATTGAAAATATGTTACTTATTGCCTTAAAATAAGTCGATAGAAATTTTACTGATAAAAATTACGTTATTATAACAAACAAGCGCATTTTTTTCATTTTAAATTTAAAAATAATCTATTTTTTGTAAAAATAAAAATAGCTTTACTATAAAAAAAAGCGTACGTCGTCGTAAACAATGTTCATTATTTATACATTTACAAATTGCTTAATTATGTTAAATAGAATATGAATCCAATATATAGGTAGTGTTGCCAGTTTGACAATTTTTATTTTCGGCTATTTTTTTATCCATAGTTTCAATGAATAGGGAAAAATGGTACATTATTTTCTACCTAAATTCTTAAAACAGCAAAGAAAGTTTGTTAAGTAGGTAGATATATTGAAAATTAATTACTTTAAAAATACGAGAATTCAATTTTATTTAATGTAATTAGGGATCGCCAAAAAATGTTACTACATCGAATTTGTTGCTTACGAACTCCTGTCCATCCATACCTGAAAAATAATCCTCTACACTGGTTACATGGGTCCCAAACAAACAGACGGTCAAAGATAACATGAAAATTCGAACCTGTAATTTTTGAAGATGATGAAACTCAAAATTATGTTAAAAATAATAGTAATGTAACAAACTTGCCTTCGTCATTATCATTTCCATACAAAACAAGATTTGGTCGAACTGTTAGACTTCCTGAGAGATACTAATAATGCTTTGTAAATATGTATATAATTACCTATACACCTTATTGTATTTCAGTTTAATTATATTTTATATTAATGTCTGTACTATAAATGTATACTTAATATATTAGCAATAATTCCCGGACGTTTTCTTATATTTCTTGTTAAGGCCAAGTTCAACGCGTTGTCAATGACAAGTGACGGCGATTTTTTTATCACAAAAAATACAGCTCTGAATGATAATATTTTGAGAAATTGTTTTTAAAAATGGGTTCAGAGTACGGTAAAGAATGGTGGAAAGTTTCTAGTTGCTTTTACTTTTAATGTATACTATTTTAATAAGTGATATTTAACAAATATTTAAAAGTTATGAACATTTTTTTATAGTATTTAAAAGCTAAAATGCAAAATACACTCTTTTATATTTGCCCTAATTATTTCAGGAAACATTTAAAAATATTGGTGCCAATTTGCAACCGTGCTAATTTGCGACATACGTTTTATTAAACTCATCGTGTTACGTGTTTGTTGACATTAAGAGATAGAAATTTAAAGTGACGTCTTGTATTACTTCGAATGAAAAATCGTTTTCTAACCTAAGAAAAAAGTAGAACTTGGCCTTAAGTGTAAAGACGACAAATAAAAATTTAGTTTCCAAATACATATGTAGTTGTTTCAATGATAACAGTTGGATGAAATAATAATGCATGAAAAAAATGTTGGATAAAAAAATGTTTCATGAAAAAAATATTGGATGAAAAAATGTTGCATGAAGAAAAAGGTTGGATAAAAAAATGTCGAATGAAAAAAATGGATGAAATTGTTGGATAAAAAAGTGAAATAGTCATGAAAAAAATATTGAATGAGAAAAGGTTCGATGAAAAATATGTTAGATGAAAAAAATGTTGGATAAAATAATAATCCTGAAAAAAAATGGTGGGTGAAAAAATGGTTGATGAAAAAATGTTGCAGAAAAAAATGCATAAAAATGTTTGATAAAATATTAATGCGTGAAAAATATGTTGGATGAAAAATATGTTGGATGGAAATTATGTTGGATGGAAAATTATCGGAAGAAAAAATGATCTTAGACGGTTTCCAATATTCCAAACGGTAAAACTGCATTTGTTAATGCACGTAAAAAATCCTCCTACGAATTATTAAGACCATCCCCGAACCCAAAAGGTGAAAACACATACTTGGAGATTTAAAAAAGGTCTGTCAGTGCTGGGATTTGAACCCAGACATCTTTGTTCTGTACACAAATGCACTGCCTCTAGACCATCGCGACATTTACTGTAAAGATTCTTAGCCGGCAATTTGATGTGTTAATTCGGTCCAAGCGCCGTTTCAGGTTCGTTCTCAAAGAGTTTTTAAATTTTTGGATTTTAACAGCCTGTATAAAATGGTTAGATATTTAAATACATTTTGATAAGATAATATACAATTATTACAACATACTTAGGATTTAGCTGATATAATATTTTTTTAAATGTTAAAAATAATATAATGTTAGTTGCTCTATGGATATAAAATTTTTCTTTTATTACCTTTTAAAAAATATACTACAGTTAGAAGAAAAAACATTGTTTTATCCTTGCACTTGAAAATGCGCAAACACTGACGAACGAGTTCACATCTATTATAATAAAATAAAAAGATTCGATATCATAAAATATCAATACGTTGTCCTTGTACTTTTGTCGGCATCAAAAACAAGTAGTACTAATATAATAAAGTCATGTATTTCCTGTTTTTACCTATATACAGGGTTAGGCAAAGTCTATAAATGGTCGAATCATTTTATTATTTAAAAAGTAACTTTTTTAAATTTGATATAGATACCTATTCATGGTTAAAAGTACGCAAACTAATAATTTTAATTTTTCACTTTAATATGACAGATACCTATTATAACAGAACAATGTAATAATTCTCGAAAATAACAAAAAAAAAAAGGAAAACTGCAATAATAACTAATTATTAGTAACAATTTATAACTAGATAGACTTTTTAGAGACCAATGTTGTCGCAAATTAATTTTTTGTTGTTTGACAGCTTGTTCTAATTCCAACTCACAGTGGCTCTATATTTACACCTCGACAGAAGAGGCCCGTGGTGTATGCCTACCTATTCCAAGTTGTGGTCTGAGTTGAATTAATGTATTAATTTTTATGATATACGTATTTCTATGTCTCCATCTCCTTTTTTATCAATGTTTTCCATGTTTTCTAACAAAATCTTTGATATAGTCTGCATTCTATGGGCAGAAATTAATGCCATTAAAGTAACTAGTTTGTAACTTAAAGTTTCTAGTGTCAGATTTTCTAAAGGATTTAAAGATTTTAAATATCATAATCAGGGTCCCTTGTGGTTCGATATTTTGGCTGGTAAAAATAGGGCAGCCATTTTGAATTTTTAAAAAGTAATTTATGATCTGTTATCTTTGAACAGATAACAATTTTATCAGAAACCAATTTTAGTCTAAATCTGCTGACTTTTAAAAATAAATGTTTTTTTTAACTGCTCACCTTGTATATATCTAACCGGAAGTATAACCGGTTTTTGAGCCAAGAGGAAACCTTACCTGCATACAAAATTTGAAGTTTTTCTCTCAAGCCGTTTTTGAGATATCGTGCCAACAGACAGACGGTAGACAACAGACGGCTAGCGGCAGACAGACCGACGGAATGAGGAATACATGATTTTCGTAATCTAGGGGCCTGAAAACGTGAAAATCTACATTTTCACAATTACAATACTTCCCTTTTATCGAGAGAAGTAAAAATAAAATAGGTATACTCGATCTTTTGAATGCTCCTCTACTAATTTCAAGGTGATGTATCAGTCTCCTTAGTTTTTTGTGTATGTTGGCGGCTGGCTTTAAAGTCACACTATCTCTCTTGCTCGTACTATACCTATATATTTATGATTTACAGACTTACATTAATAAGTCGATTAATAAATTAGTTAATAAATTCTGTCTTGTTCAATTTTATAGAAAACAAATAAAAACCGGGGCGACGCCTTTCAGCGCCTGTAGGACCGTTGCCTCTCGGCACTAGGACCGACAACAGTCAATGCTAGGACCGGCGCGTTTCGGCGCTAGGACCGGCACCCCCCGGCGCTTGTAGGACCGGCGCACCGGGAAATCTCCCGGTTTCCCGGTGGGCCCATCCGTCCTTGCGTAGTTCGGCAATTATAAGAAGTCAGAGTAGAGAAAAATGGTGTACCTATTTTCTTCATTTGTCTTTATTGAATTTTTACACCAGAACTTACTTTTTGGATTCGTCGTTTTTTTTTTTGGGAATAAAAACTACAACTCTAACATAAGAATTTTAATAAAAATTAACTAAAAAGGTAGGTACAACAAAAATTATTCATTTAAACTTAAATTATTAATAGGTGTGCTTAACTGTTACTAGGTATAGTTATGATTTGTGAAAATTTTCTTGTACATTTTCAAAATGATATGTTTATTGATTGAATAGCTATAAACATTTATTCACAAAGTAACAAATTATGACAAAAATTTATTTGTTTTCAACAAAATCATAAATATTACATTTTCAATATCTAAACTAGTAGAATAGGTAAAATTTATAGTATTAAAAATATTTGGTTTTTGGTAGGGACACTAATAGCTCAAAACGTCATGTAGATGTTCTACAAATTATCAAATAACGGTATCATTTCATTAGTAATTCTTGTGGCATGACGTCGTGAATTGATAAATACATATTGTGCATTAATGTAACACTTCCAGTGGTTTTTAACCCATGCGTATATGGATATAAAATAAATCAAGAAGGTATAGTCAAAACATTGCATGTTTTGAAAATAAAAATGATATACTTACATAACCGTTATTTTATATTTTTGAATAAGGAAATAATGGGACCATTAGAAAAATAGCTATTTGTGTACAAAGAGCTAAAAGCGATAATTTGCCGAACATTTTGCTCAAATGCACACAAGATTTTTTCTACAATCACACTTTTTTAAGAAATAGATATAAAAACTGAAAATTTGACGAAAGTAGTGTATAATGTATTGACTAACCTACGTCAGTCATGAAAAAAGCAGTTGATATTCAAAGTCCATGTTAAAATACCAAAATTAACAAAATAATTTCAAAGTGTACTTTTAATTATATTATCCAAAATATAACACAAATTTATATGAATATATTTGGATTAGATCGCTATATAAACTCTGATCAACACATACTCTTCTTCATTTTAATGTTATAACTTGATAATACCTTTATGTTCCATGAAACGTTGATGTCATCGTCGTTATCATCGTACGTGTCAGTTTAGTTTCTGATAAATTGTACAATTTGAAGTCTCATATACAGTTTTTCAAAACTATATTAGATATTAATTGGGCCTACATGTATGGGAATCTTGAAAACTATAGAATATAGAGAAACAGTTAAATGAGAAAATTTTTATACAAATAGATTTGCAACTTAAAGCCGTTTAATATGTGATTCCATTTTTTGTTTTGTGTTTGAGATATTTTAAAAAACCAAAAAGTTGAATTTTCCAATTTCTTTATTTGTTCTCTATTTTGGCAATCTGTAAAAACATTTTTTAAGTAACTTTTATGTTTCATAGAATATAGAGCTATTATCAAGTTATATTTTAAAATGAAATGGAGTATGCTTTTATCAGAGTTTGTTTAGCGATCTAATTCTTGAAGCACTAATTATGTATGTTTTGCTTTTCACACCTCATCTACACAAATTATATGATATACTGATGACACAAGTGTAAAAAGTCACTGGAAGAACTGTATATCTAGTAAATATAAGGCTATAACTATCAGGATACCTATTCTCTAACTCATGGGAGCACTCCCACACTCCCATGCTCCCATACTCCCATGCCAACGTTGCCAAGTCGACAGAATAACTTTGATCTACTATTTAAGGACCGATCCACCGTTGTGTTAAACGAAGTTTAAAATGACATTTTTACATTAATAATGTCATTTTAATCTCCGTTTAACTCAACGGTAGAATCAGCCCTTAGTAATTCAAATTTGCTTTGTGATAAATACGGACCTAATCTGGCAAGCCCGCAATTCTCCCTCCCATAGTATAAAATCTGACCTTACTACGCATGTACCTGGGCTAAAAGTGAGTAAGCACGATATACCCACCTAAGAGTAAGAGAGTAAAATATATGGGAGCACTCCCATGGGAGCGCTCCCATGACTTAGTGAATAGCTATCCTGGTATATCTAGGGACGCGCCAAATATTATTCGCGTCGTTGTGCGGAATACTTATATGCATCTTTATGTATACAGGGTGGCGCATTAGAAACAGTCCACCTCAAATATTATTCTTCGAGAATGTTTAATGGCATGGGGGTTGAGTGGCACATCATTTGAAAAACCAGTTTAAAATGTCTGTTAAGGACGGGGTCTCCCTGCTGTAGACCAAAAGTTAAACCGACCGATTTCCGAAAGTAGGGCATTAAAAAATTTAATTTTCATCCCAACTAGAGATAAAGGTCTAACTTATTTAGTTAAATTGTTAACTTAACGATTTTCAATAAAAACCATAATTTTAAAATAACACCATTTTTTCATTTCCATGGAGACATTTAACAATTTTTTTACTTTAAAATAATTCTTTTAATTTAAAATGAATTATTCATCAATTTAAAATAGTAAGACTACCTAAGTAAGACCTTTATCTTTAATTTGGCTGAAAATTACATTTTTAAATTCAACATCTTTGGAAATCCTTGGTCTACAGGTCTACATACGGAGACCCCTGTCTCTGAATAAAAATCTGCAATTAATAACTAGATACTGAAACAGCAAAAAAGATATTTATCCGCATTTAACGAGATAAGATAATGGTTTTTAGTAGTATTTTACGGGTACCTAGTTTTATTTTAATGAAATTTCTTCATTTGCTATTTGAAAGTAAATGAACCTAATTATCATGGTTTACACCACTATTTTAGAAACAAGGAGTCTGCTCGGGCAGCTGCAAGAGTTTTTAATGAACGGCATCCCGGTAATAATGTAATAAATTTAATGTCTAAATTCATGGAGACTGGAAACGTTTCTAACAGAAAATATGAAAGACAACACCCTGTTACTAACGAGGCTACACAGGTTGCACTTTTGGGACATGTTGCATTGTATCCCACTTTAAGCACGAGACAAATAGCAGCAACTACAGGAATTCCACGTAGAAGCCTTCAGAGGGTCTTGAAATAGCATAATTTCCATCCTTTTAAGATTCATCTCATGAAAGAGCTTAACGAAGACAATCCAGATCGCCGTATCCAATTTGAGGAGATGACTAGAAGAGTTGTGGACAATCCCCACTTTTTATATTTAAAATGCTTTTGTGACGAATGCACGTTCTTTCTTAATGGTCACGTGAACAGACATAATTGCAGATACTAGAGTGAAGCAAATTCTGCAATTGTAAGAGAACAACATACACGGAATTCCCAAAAATTGAATGTATGGGCTGGGGTTTTTGATTCGTTTTTCCTACCTCATAACTTGACGGGTGAATCATATCTATCCTCACATTGTGGATATAATGGAAAAC